GGGGGCGGGGGGGCACGGGGGAGGGCGGGGAGTGGGGGGGGGGGGGGGGGGGGGGGGGGGGGGGGGGATCAGCTGCACTCAGGCCACGCCTACCACGCTGGGTCGAAATACTTACACGAGACCGTCTCCGGGAAAATCGTCTTTGTTGAGTTTTTCTTTTTTTTTCTTTTCCTCAAACCCGATGAACAACAGTGCTGTTCTGTAGTACTGAGCATTCTTGAGCCCCTGTAGGCGTCTAAACTAGTTTCAGACAGTCGGGGCTAGAGGCAGAGATATAGAATGTGTGTGTAACAGCTAAATGTGTATGAAGTATCTTTATGAGTTTGACAGAAATTATAAAGATATAGCTATATGAATATAAAAGAGTGTATCTGACTGCACACTTCCTCCGCCCACACACACACACACACACACACTACACATACACACACTCTACACACACACACTAATCAGAACAAGCGGCTTGAACTGAGGATCTGAACAAATCAAACATCGCAGACACACAAACATTCCCTGGTCTTGTTGAAAGGAATTTGCTTCTGGTGCTTGAGCCGCTGAGCGGCGCTGAGCCACAAGGGGGCGGTAATGGGCCTTTATTCTGGATCGTTTGCAGGAAAAAAAGAGATAATAATAAAAACAGAAGCAGACCCAATTATCTCAAATCACCACCTACCCTGTTTTCTGACTATGGTCTGGAATGGACTTCTGAACCGATGAGAAATCTAGTTTTGCAGACATATTTTGCAGATGTTTTCGTTCATCCTTGGCGGTGTGGCCGACTGCCCTTTCCTTTGTCAGTATTACTTCAGGAATACTGATTGTTTACAGCCCATGGTTCCCAAACCACGATTCTTGATGAAAGACAAAGTATTCACTGCAACAGTTCTTGTTTGTATAACAGATGTGGCTCTACTGATGTGTATGTTTTATATTCAAGAGTTCATTTTTATTATTTACAAATAAAAGACTGTGTGGAAGAAGAGCCTGGCCTTCTTTAATCACTGGTGTCTCAAGAAGCAGCAGACAGCAGAGATTTTTTTTTTTTTGAATGTTGACATTTGTGCAGATTTGTAAAAACATTGTTGCATATTCTTTTTTGCTATTATGACCACATTGAGTTTTCTGTAACCTTTTACAGGATTGGATTGAACCGACAGAGGGATCTTTGACAGTCTCCAGATTGTCGTGTTTTCTCTTTTGCCCTCTTCAGTTCAGATCAACCAGCTGATTTTCTTCAGGATTTTGGTTTGTCGACTGAAAAAAGGTAGATTTTATATCCGTGTTTATTATTGTTGTGTTTAAAAATATCTTGGTATGTCAAATTTCAGGATATTAGTGTTGTTTTCAGTTCCTTTGGAAGAGAAGCAGGGCCCGCAACATCACAGATCCTCCTTGGCAGTGGACTTGAGCTGCTTTTCCACATTTTTATACTTTGTTTAAGGCAAACCTACTACTAATATTTGCTGACTATGTTGTTTCCACCTGACCAAAACAAAGGATTTAGAGATATGTTTACATGTGTGATGTTTGGACAAAAAATGTTTTTTTTTTTTTTTTTTCTTAAGTCACAAATAATTGGTTGGCTTCCAAAGATAATCTTGCTTCCTCAGCCTAAGTTACTAACTGTTTAGTTGTTTTAAATGTTTTAATTACTTATCCAGCTGTAGATCTTTGCAAGTTTAGATGAGCATCCATTTTCCCCCCTCTGCCTAAATACCATGTTTTATTTCCTTTCCTATTTTCAAGAGCAGCTGAAAGGAATGGATCTGCACCAAGCCACCAACAGATTTTAGTCTGTGTAAAGGAAAGTGTTACCTCTTGTGTGTTTTAAAAATACTTACAGCCCTCTTGCCCGTTTCCTCTGATTTACAGTTTTTCCTTCACTTTCAGTTTTTCCCTAACTGTTAATGCTCAGGTAACCTCTCTCTTGGTATCCATTACAGGCTGAGTGTTTAAAGATGCCAGTGACTCATGAAACAGTAGAAGGAGATGTAGAAGAGTGGAAAAGTTCACTATTAAACTGTGTGCAAATAGATGTATTTAATCAGGGTTTTTTTATTTGTTTGCTGATTTCAGTTTGAACTTGATCCAACTTCTATCCTCCAGAATCACAGCATCTGTTGCCACCTTGTGTTGTGAATGGAGAGGACAGCCGTCAACTTTAGACCATTTTGATATGAAAGTTAAAATGATAAAGCAGGTTGAAAGTATAAAATTTGACTGCCTGTAAAAATATGGGATTTGATCTAGACATTTTCCAGATCTGGTTTAATTATAGAAAAGTATATATTTTCAGATTTTGTTCCTAGTTAAATTGTCTACAGATTGTCTCCATTCATCATTTCTTAATGTATTCATCTGTCCATCATCATTCATCCATCGGTTAATCTATCCATACTTTGTTCTTCCTTTCATTTTGGATATTGACAGAATTCATATTTAAATCTGACTCTGAGCGGTAAACAGAAGAGCTTACCTTTCCCTAATGCAGTCCTGCTGTCCTACAAAGTAAGTTTGAATGTCAATGGGTCAGGAAATCAGAAGCTTTACTGTTTAACTCCTCTTCCTCTTTACCATGGCAGACAGTAATGTCCTTGAATGAAGATCCGACGTGCCCAAGACATTTGACAACCTCCGCTTGGACTCTTGCTGAGACTCAGACTTTGAGGAGATGACCGTCATCCTGCCTGCCTCACGCACACCTGTGAACCTTTGCTGTGAGAGCTGAAGGTCATGTATTGAAGACGGGAACAGGGCTGCATCATCTGCAGAAAGCAAAGACGAGACCCTGAGGTTCCCAAACCAGGCGACGCCTCAACAAGCTGGACTCCGGCAGCTTGAATTACAAAGTTTAGTTTTGTTTGCTGCTGAAATAAAAGGAGCATCAGTTCAAGTCGTCAGTGTTTTGCTTTGTTTTATTGAATTTCATTGTCCAGCTGTAAAAGACAGAGGCAACAGAAAACCAACGTTGCATGAACTGAATACATGGTAAAAAAACAATCACTTGGATAGTGGAAGGAAGAAATTAACAAATGTCAATCGATTTTTATTATGCATATTAATACAATCAATGTCCTTTATTTGCTTATATTTACACACAAAAACACAAAATGAATCCAGTGCAATAAGGCCTTCATGGCGCGTCCAGATTGTCCACCAAGTCGCCATAAAAAAGCGGATAAAATCAGTTTCAAAGATTTCCGAGTTTAAAACGTTTTAGTGCTTTAGTGCCCTCTTGTGGTGAGTTGGAAGAAGAACGGAAATGTGGTGAAATATTGCCTTTAATTTATTTTATGGACCAAACAATTTCTGGAAGTGAAGAAAAAGAAAAGTACACCAAAATAAAAGCATCGACCTTGCTGCATAAATAAAACAGACCAGTTGGTTTATTGCTCCAAAACAGAATGAAAAAGATGGTAATTCGTTTTGCACATGTTTTTGTTTTGTTTTTATTTCAATGCAAGTAGCATAAGATAACAAATTTCCTTCATCAGAAGGTTTATATATAAACATTTTGTCTGAATTAAATTATGTTCCACACTTTTTACTCTGCAAAATGCTGAGCTGGGTGGAGGTAAATATTCGCATGTTATTTTCTCATTTTGATTTTATCTTCAAAATAAAGCGTTTAATCGGCAGTCGTAATAAAGTAATTGATTATTTATAAAGATCTATAAATGTTACTGAGAGCCTATAGTTTCCACTTTCTTTTGTAGATTTCCTGGACTTTTAAGAGTTTTTTTTATTTTATTATTTAAACATGCTGATTTTTTTCCAAAGCAAGCCAGATTCTTTTTAGGCTTTCCTAATCTGATCCCTGCCCCCTCCCCTCTCGCTTCCTGTAAAAAAGTCCCTCACGGCTGCTTGAGGACATGCAGCAGTTCATAAATCTGAAGTGCTGAAACTCCCCTCAGGGTCTCCTTCACTGAAAACTGAGCTCCAATAAACTCACACTTTCTTTCCCTTTAAAACATTCATTTTCGTTTCATTAACTTGCCCCCCCATTCCCGAGGTTCATTCTTCAAATGCACTTTTTTTTTTATATTTATTTATTTTTTTTTTTAGCCTCATTCTGCAAAGACCTGGCCCCTCTCTTCAAATGATTCACTTAGCCTCAGTTTTTTTTTTTTCCTTCACAGTTTGTCAGGAGTGAGGAGTAATACTGATCCCGGTAGCTCAGTAGTAGAAACGAGGCCTATAATTGAGCACTTATGTTAATAACATGTTGTCAGAAACTCAGTGACGGCTCAAGTTTTAGCAGTTAGAGATCCGGAGCGCTCCGGGCGTGCTGGTTAACAGGCAGGCTGATAGAGGAGGGGTGTCATGTCAGATTAGATGTGTTATGGGCCCCTCCCGGGCCCCTCCCTCCTCTTCGCTCCGTGTTAATGGTCTGAAAGGGTCTGGCTGCGTTCATGGCGGCGCCTCAGAGCCCATTAGAAAGTTCCCTCCCCTCGCGTCGCTTAATCTAATTACACAGCCGGCCTTCATTGTCCCCTTGCACCCCTCCATCCTCTGCGTACTTTTTTTTTTTTCTGTTCCCCACATTTTGGTCTCGCAGATATTCATTAAAAGATTTGATTTATAACTAAGCTCTCATCAGAACCGCCCGCTAAGAGATCCTTCCGTAGCTTTATAGGGTCTAACTTTATTTACACAGTCTGATAACTCTGCGGATTAATAATCCTTAGAAGCGACCAGGCGGACAATCTCTAATATTAGTTAGGCTGCATGGAAATACTTGGAATACATTGACTTTAATGGGCTATTAGTCATGAAATAGGCGAAATAAAACATAAGGAAAAATTATACTATTTGCATTATTATAGATAATACAAATTGCAATAATACATCATTGTTGTGTATGTGATTCGTTGTAACTGTTATAAACATAATGAATCAATTATATTGGAAATAAAAACTAAATATTTAAATAAAACATCTCATTATTACATGATAGGCCGATCTATAAAAATGTGTACAATATAAAGCTTATTAGTGTTATTATATAAGATTTATATAAGGACTTTTGTTAAAAAGAAGTCTAATTTTACAAAGATTCACTAATTATTTTTTTATCTTTCATTCTAGCTTATAGAGAAAAAAAAGTATCTTAAGTGATTAGGCTTTTATTTCCCCCAGTTTTGACCTTTTCTTTCTCACGCATCAGACCCGTTTCCTCAAATTGCTCATCAGAATATTTTGTTCCCTCCGTGAGGCTCAATCTGACCATTTGGGCCCTTTGCGGTGGACTAAAGGCCTTCAGATCTATTCTGTTCTTTTTACATTGGCAGCATTAGGACACAAGAGGGCGCTAGAGTCCGCGTTTGGAGCTCTAGAAGTGAAGATGCTCGTCACTGTTTCAGAAATAAACCTCAGTGGTGGTCTGTGTTCGCTGTGTGTTCAGTTATTACTGTTGGAAGAAGTTTGGTGAAACTTTCAACTTTAATTAAATCCACTGACCAAAATCATTGTATTTGGTGTTTTCTCAGAACAATTCAGTAAAGAATCTCAAACTTTTCAATTCCAATTACAACCAGGAACTCCAATGTACTTTAGTGGGGAGTTTGTAAACTACTGGACCAACACAAAGTGGAGCGTAAAGGGAAAATAACATAGTTTTAATCTTGTTTTGCAAAAACAGTCAACACTTTGTAGAACAACCTTTCCTGCAGTTGCTGCTGTAAGTGTTTTGGGGGATTTATTTACCAAATTTGCTCATACGCAGACCGATTCTTCTAGCAAACCGACTCAATCCAACTTCGAAAGGATTGAGAACTTTTAGGTCTTGTCTTGTATTCTCCTAAATTCTATCACATTAATCTGATCTTATTATACTGTTTTATGATTTTGTTGGCTGTGTGTTGTGTGAAGCTCTGACCCCATCCTGGACGCTTTGCTACTGCTAACAGTTTTTCTTCCAGGATTCCAGTATTTAGCTCAATCCATCTTTAAACTACTCCAGTTGGTTTCCTCTTTTCCTGTTGAAAGCATCCCCATAGCATGATTCTGCCCTTACCGTGCTACTGAATGACCCCCATCACACACAGTGTTGCATGACGACCAAAAAGTTCACTTTTGGATCAGAGTACCTTATTCCACATGCTTTCTGTGTCCCCTAAACGGCTCTTGGTAAAAGGCAAGCAGGATATTTTATGGTTTTCTTCTTAGTGCAGCCTGGTTTTCACAGCTAATAGCAGATCGATTCTTCCACCTAATCTGTGAACCTCCGCAGCTCCGCCAAGGACCTTTTGGTGGCTCTTTTCTGAGTAACCCACCCCTCGTCTAACCTGTCATGTTTTGGTAAGATTGCTGCTGTATCATCTTGTTCCTATTTTTAAATGATGAACATTTCTCTGTGAGATAGTCAAAGATTTGGATATATATAT